CTTGCACTTGCAACTTGCACTTGACTCCTTGCACTTGCAACTTGCACTTGACTCCATGCACTTGCAACTTGCACCTGACTCCTTGCACTTGCAACTTGACTCCTTGCACTTGCAACTTGCACTTGACTCCTTGCAATGACTCCTTGCAATGACTCCGCCATGCTTTCGGGAAAAGCAAGAAAGCAAACTAAAAAAAACAAAAACGAGCAAGCGAGCAATCAAGCAAGCAGGCAAGCAAGGCTGCGGCAGGGCGCGGCGGACAAACAAATAAACAAACAAACAAGCAAGCAAACAAAAAAACAAACAAACAAACAAGCAAACAACCAATAGCGGTGGTCTGGCAGTTCGAACAAATGGAAAAAGTAAATGAAATTGCACAGGTGAAAACTCTTTCAAAACATAAAGTTAGAATTTACCTTGGCCCCAAGAGGGCCTAGGGCGATCAGATCGCGTTCGTAAAGAAACTTCTCCGGCCCACCCCCACCCCCGTCACCGATGTCTGCTGGCCCTAAGATCCTGTCCGGCGGGCCTTGAAATTTTCGGGGTTTGGCGGCGTCCTGTTGTTTCAATAGGCACAACCAGTTGGCGCTCATACATGACCTCGGCAAAAGCTCCAGAAAATGGTCTTCTTCTGTGCATGGACCTGCAAAGAAAAGGTATCCTTGTTGGACCTGAGGGCTTTGAAAGTGACTTGGCACCCATACTTTCGAAGTCTTCCCGTCCCTTTCACCTTGGCGAAGTGGTTCTTTGATCTCCGCACATGCCAAAACCAACATGGGGCGTTCTCTCAATGGTTTGGGCGCCTAAACACCAAAAAACCTCCTGCTGGCCAAGCCTGTCTAACCTGTCTGAGACTAGCCTGACAGCCCAGCCCAACAGCAACCCACACAAGCAAACGCCCAACCCCGCCCAGACTCACAGTCTAGTCTCTGAGACTTGCCTCAGGCCCAGCCCAACCAGCAACCCAAGCAAGGCGCCACAGACGCTGGCGCGCTCGGCTTGGCCGAGGCGGGCAACGCGCAGCGTCTACAATAAAAGAAAACACACAAGTAGAATAAGTCGAAACGTGAGTTCCAATATTTCGGCCAAACCAGTTAAAATCTTTCGACACAATTAGAATATTTCAAAACAAGGGTTTCGGTTCTGAACAACTACTCCGCAACACATGTCCTAGCTGCTAGCCCGTTGCTACATATAAATATACATATATATATATATGTGTGTGTGGGTTCCATTTGGGTCCGTCTTTCTTTCGAGGGCGTATACCCTTTTTTGGTGGCTGGCTCAAAGCAAAACCAAACGGAAACTGGCCCACCCCCACCCCCGTCACCGATGGCTGGCCCTAAGATCCTGTCCGGCGGGCCTTGAAATTTTCGGGGTTTGGCGGCGTCCTGTTGTTTCAATAGGCACAACCAGTTGGCGCTCATACATGACCTCGGCAAAAGCTCCAGAAAATGGTCTTCTTCTGTGCATGGACCTGCAAAGAAAAGGTATCCTTGTTGGACCTGAGGGCTTTGAGGGTGACTTGGTATCCATACTTTCGAAGTCTTCCCGTCCGTTTCACCTTGGCGAAGTGGTTCTTTGGTCTCCGCACATGCCAAAACCGCCTAAACACCAAAAAACCTCCTGCTGGCCAAGCCTGTCTAACCTGTCTGAGACTAGCCTGACAGCCCAGCCCAACAGCAACCCACACAAGCAAACGCCCAACCCAGCCCAGACTCACAGTCTAGTCTCTGAGACTTGCCTCAGGCCCAGCGCAACCAGCAACCCAAGCAAGGCGCCACAGACGCTGGCGCGCTCGGCTTGGCCGAGGCGGGCAACGCGCAGCGTCTACAATAAAAGAAAACACACAAGTAGAATAAGTCGAAACGTGAGTTCCAATATTTCGGCCAAACCAGTTAAAATCTTTCGACACAGTTAGCATTTTTCAAAACAAGGGTTTCGGTTCTGAACAACTACTCCGCAACACATGTCCTAGCTGCTAGCCCGTTGCTACATATAAGTATATATATATATATGTGTGTGTGGGTTCCATTTGGGTCCGTCTTTCTTTCGAGGGTGTATACCCTTTTTTGGTGGCTGGCTCAAAGCAAAACCAAACGGAAACCAACCATTTAAGAAAGAAACATGCATTTAAGGAACGCATGGCTTCTCCCTTTTTCGGAGCCCACACGCTCAGCCCACGCCGCCCCTCTCCCACAAACAGTTAGAATATTTCATACACAGCACATTCTCCAGGGAGCCCAACACACGGGGGGGAGGGGGGGGGGCACAGATAGAATAGTTGTTTTTTGGGCCGGGAAACTTTCATGAGGCGATTAATCGTACGCGCACCAAAGAATCAGAAAAGAGATAGCAAGGATTGGAATGCTTCTCAAATGTTCAAGCCCTTACTAGGAAGTACCAGATTTAGCGTTGGCGACACTCATGTTAAACACTGGCAACGCTAAAGTAAGTGCTGCCAAGACTAATTTAGTCCTGGCAGTCTGAAACATTGGAATCGCGTGTTGTTTTCAGGACAGGATTCTTTTGAAAACCGTGCGGCCCTTGCTGATATATTCTACCTGTCAAAACATGACAGGGTGGTCAAATTTCAAGGGTCTGGGCAAATTTGTATTACTCTAACTGTCACATGTGTTCCGAAAATATATTCTAACCGTGGTACACATTCTCACTGTGCTTTTCAAAGTCAAATATACTCTAATTGAGGAGCCAACGGAGTAAATTACATTCTAACTGGTAGACCACCGCTATAACTAAACTAACAAAAACACCACAAAAACAAGACAAACACAAGCAAGCAGGCAGGCAGACCAACAGACAAACAGACGGACAGACTGACAAACAAAAACACACACGCACACACACACACACACACACACACACACACACACACACACACACACGCACACACGCACGCACAACAAGAAAGCAAGCAAGCAAACAAACAAACCAACAACACGCAAACAAACAAGCCCAAACAAACAACCAACCAACCAATCAAAAAAAAACAGTCAAACAAAAAAACAAACCAACCAACAAACAACCAAAGAAACAAACCAACAAAGCAATCAAACAAACCAAAAAACAAGCAAGCAAACAAAGAAACAAACCAACAAACCAACATACCAATCAAACCAACAAACAAACCAACCAACCAACCAAACAATCAAACAAACAAGAAAAACACAAACAAACAAAACACACAAACAAACAAACAAACACACACACACAAACAAACAAACAAACAAACAAACAAGCAAACAAGCAAGCAAGCAAGCAAGCAAACAAACAAACACACAAACAAACAAACAAAACCAAGAATTGCGACGCTTTGCTTCTATCAGGCCGCGTTCACCAAATTGTAGTCAAGGGCCCGTCTCCAAGGTACGCCACCCGCGTCACATGTGGCTTGCCTTGAGCGCGTGGGGCTCGGATGTGTCAAAGGACAGCTCGGGCTGAAGGCCGTTGGAAAGTCCTCGCTGCCCAGGCTGCCAAAAACTTGCGGGCGCTCCGCAAGTGAAACTTCTTTGCAACTTGGCGTTGCGTTGTCAAATGAGTTACGGGCTTGCCACGGCGAGCCGACGCAAAGGCAGCCCAGCACGACGATGCAGCTCAGCGCGGGTACGGCCACGCGTTCGTCCCACACGCTGGCATGGCGGCAATCATGACGACAGCAGGCGGACAAAAGGAATGGCGGTAGGATGAAGGGTTTGACTTCACCCGCCTTCAACTTAACCCAGTTTTCTGGTTTTCACGTTAGGTGCTCGCATGGTTACTCGGCGTTGCAATAGTATGTGTAGACCTTGCAGGTTGGCACATTGAGCTAGCGGCTCCCGTAAGTTGATCTGTACAGTCATTTGCAAAGCTCAACAGCTGGCAGCCCCAAGGTCTTGCTCGTGACTTGCAACAAATCGACTTCACAATCAGCTCGCAGACTGATTTCTGGCAACATGCCTGTCCCTGCGCTAAAACAAGCGTTCGTAAGTTTCCCTGCGCCAACCAGCCAAACAGCTTGCTCCTTTTTCATGTTGATGATGGACTCGAAGTCGTGGGGTCCACAATTGCCGGGGTGGGGCAACACAACCTCGCCAAGATCACGACAGGCCCTGGGCAAACTGGACGCCGCCCGCGACATGAGCCTCCTCAGCCTCGTAGTGGATGAGTTGCGCCTCGCCCTAGCGCAGCTTCTTCGTCGGTGCCAAGGCCACCCGCGCAGCCGCGCTGGCCAGGGCGTCGTCCAAATCCGCAAGGCCGCCAGCGGCTGCCAGCTCCGCAGCACAGAAACCCTGCGATCTCAAAAAACGCTGCCCACTAGTTCCTCAACTTCGCCCGTTTGCCGGCAGCTTGTCGCGCAACCAGCATCGCTGAAAGAAATCGCACCTCAAAAGTTCATGGGCGAAGCTTTGACGCAACGTGTCTAAGCAGGTTGTTTGAACTAACTACCAACAAATAGCATAAGGTGCGCCTTGGCTGCAAATAGCGCGCACACACGCGCACCATGTGAGTAGGCTTACCACGACTCCGCCGATGGTGTTTCTACTTGTGTGTGGTCGTTTTTGTTTGACGACGTCAGGATTTCTTAACCTAATACTGGGCTGAAAACTCCCAACCCGAGAGCCGATCAAAGCCATCCACGTTGAAGGGCCGCAGAGAGCGACAACATCAAGAAACACGCCAGCGCAAACATTGGGGTGTTGAGGGCGAAGGCGCGGTAAACGTGTGCGCAATGCGCAGTTGCTCGCTTCGCGTTCAACTTGACCGCGTCTCAGAGTCCGTGATGCAAAGCGATTGGCCCAGCGAAACCAAGGCAGACGAGCATCAGCGTTTGCTGATGACATCGTCCTCCTCATCCGTGTCCCAAACAATGTGCTGCACGCACGAGACGCAGGCAGCACCGCTGGTAAGCTAGAGAGCCACCTGTCAAAGCGGGATGGCAGCACCCGGCTGCAAGGGGTCAACCATGAGCACTTTGCTCAACAAGCGTTCCTGCTGAAGTACATGAATGATTCGGCCCGAAGTGTCACTAGGTCTGACCTTTTTCCACGCTCGTGAAAACCAGCTGAAGCCCCGTATTCTAGGGACTCCCTGGGCAAAGTGCCACAACGTGATTCCTCCAATCCTCTCCAAGGGGCATGACCACGTTGGGATTCCCCTCAGCAAAGCATGCTCAATATTGCTTAATTGACTCTTTAGACCACGGATGTTCTGTTCACCAAGTCAGACAAAGGAAACAAATACACAAAAAAAGTCCAGCAGAACAATGCGGGAGGAACCATGCACTGACTGAAAAGAAGCAAGTCAATTCACAACACAACACATCCAAACAAACCGACAAACAAACAATAACCGAACAATCAAACAAAAACAAAAACAAACAAACAAACAAACAAACAAACAAAACAAGCAAACAAGCAAGCAAACAAACAGACAAAACAAATGAAATACAAAGAAACAAACAACAACAAAAACAAGCACACAACGAAGCACACAACGAAGCACACAACGAAGCACACAAACGAAGCACACAAACGAAAGAAAACAAGCAAACAAACAAACAAACATTCACACACACACACAACACTAAATAGGAGAAACCAACAATCAAACAAACAAACAAACAAACAAATAAACAAACAAACAAAACCAGAAATAAAAAAAACACAAGCAACTAAAAAACAGTAACAAGAAAAAAAGAAACAACTAAACAAGCAAACGCGCAAACAAACCAAAACTAAACAAAACAACCAGACAATCAACAACACACAAACAAAAACACAAACAAAAACAAACACACAGACATAAACAACTGATAAACACGAAAACAAACAAACACACAAGAACAAAAACAAACGCAACCAAACAACAAACAAACCAACAAGCAAACGCTCAAACGAAAAACACACCACAACAAAATAACCAAAACCACACAAACAACGAAAAACAAACAAACAGGCACAGCAACAAAAACAAACAATCAAACTAAAAAACAAGCAAGCAAACAAACACACGAAAAATCAGCCAAAGCACAAACAAACAGACAGACAGACAGACAGACAGACAAACAAACAGACAGACAAACAAACACACACACAATACAACAACAAAAACAAACAAACATACATCGAAACAAACAAAAACACCTGCGAACCAACAAACCAACAAACCAATCAAACCAACCAACCAACCAACAAACAAACAAACCAACAAACAAACAAACCAACAAACCAGCAAACAAACAAAAAAACAAACAAGCAAACAAACAAACAAGCAAACAAGCAAACAAGCACGCAAGCAAGCAAACAAGCAAACAAACAAACAAACAAACAAACAAACAAACACATAAACCAACAAACAAACAAACAAACAAACAAACAAACAAACAAACACACAAACAAACAAACAAACAAACAAACAAACAAACACACACACACAAACAAATAACAAACAAACAAGCAAACAAACAAACAAACAAACCAACAAACCAACAAACAAACAAACAAACCAACAAACCATCAAACCAACAAACCAACCAACCAACCAACAAACAAACAAAACAACAAACCAACAAACCAGCAAACCAACAAACCAACAAATCAACAAACACACAAACAAACAGACAAACAAACAAACAAACAAACAAGCAAGCAAGCACACAAACAAACAAACAAACAAATCAATCAATCAAACAAACAAACAAACAAACAAACAAACAATCAAACACCCAAACAAACAAATAAACAAAACGAAACAAACTAACAAAACAACACAAAACAAAACCAACAGGCAAGCAAACAACACAAAACAAACCAAAACAAACAAATACACACACACACAGCTATACAAACACGTTTTGTGGTCCTGGTCATGCAGGCTGTTTTTCTTTTTCTTTTTTCCGGTTTTCTTTGGGTCCCAAGCCCAGGCCATGCTGCAATAGTCTGGGGGCATCGTTGAGGAGGCCTCCAACGAGCGAATTCGCGGGGAGGCGCGAAAAGTCGCCGTGGGGTGTTCTTTTTGATCGGTTTGGAAAGGAAATGGGCCTGAACGTATTCTTAAGGAGCCCTTTGGTGGACACCATGGTGGGGATCCATGTCCACCACTTTGGAGGGCATTCCCCAGTAAAATGCATGACCAAGACTTGGGCTTGACGGGTTGGATTCATTCCAAGGGCCATCTAGTTTTCTTTATTGGTCGTGCCAAGGACACAAGCAACAATGTTGACCCCATATTAATGAACCAACCAGTTTTTTTGATAGGGCCTACAAACAGGGATGGATTAATATGGGATCAACATTCATGGGACACAAGGGAAACCGACATCCATGTCTGGGTTTGATGTGTTTGAGGTTTCCCCATGTTGGGTGTGTTTTAAAGGGAAACCACAAGGAACTCTTGCCATTTTGTTGGGTCGGCTAAAAAAGACACGCCCATGTGGCTAAGCAATCGTACAATAAAATGAGACGCCACCACGCAATGCTGCCTAGATAATACAAGACACCAACCTTGTGTGCTGATGGTTATCAATGATATGGGTCTGTCTCAAAGTAGGGGTTGGTGAGAAAAACCCATCCAATCTCCGAGTTGCTAAGATTGCAACAAGGAAAATGTTGGCTTGGGACGTGAGAAGCAGGCTTCGGACCTCCAACTTGGCATCGGGTTTTTTGGGCTTCCGCTTCCGCCGACCTGAAAGGGGTTCCACCCCCCGAAAAAAGACAAGCCCGTAGGCTTTGCTGCGACTGAACTGGTTTTCTGAGGTGCAGGCATTATGTTGCCCAAAGTTGATGTCTTGTAGGCTTGGCATCTTTTTGCGGTTGCTTCAAAGGGAAGTGAAAGGGAAACCGCCCAGTTTGCGGGCGGCCCCTTCTTTCTGGAGACAACCCCAATGGTCGGTTGGCCGTCGGGGAAACACGTCAACCAGATCTGCTCACCCGACAACTCCCGCGGCGAGCTTCCATGGCTTACCAAAGTCTGGCAAATGGTCTACCCAAGAACTTGCGAAGAACTGCAAGGAGAGATCCGCACCTAATTCTTGGGACTGTGACTGAGCTTCTAAGGGAGGGGAGGGGAGGGGAGGGGAGGGAGGGGAGGGAAGGGAGGGAAGGGAAGGGAGGGGAGGGAGGGGAGGGGGAGGATTGCAGCTCAAGCCTTGGGACGATCGGGCGCTGGCAAGACAACCGCAGCAACTCTTGGCTTCCCCCCAAAATGCGCAGGGTCAGGCATCGAATGCCATGGCGTAAGATTAAGATGAACATTTGCTGAGGCTCGAGAAAAAGAAGAAAAAAAACACACGAAATGACCGGGGTTTGCTTCGGCTTCTCCTTTCTCCTTCCCGATATTACGTCTTTTTGTCCCCCCCTGACCTGCCATGAACCGGGAACCTGACCTCAATGCCATCATGCGCCACCAGGGACGAGCTGGCAGGCGAGAGGCTGTCCCAAACCTCGGAGCTTCGCATTTCGGCCGCTTGATCGAAGAGGCCACGCGCATGAAGCGCGAGCCACAGGAAAAGGAGCGGTTTAGGCCTGGAATCCAACAAACTTTCAAGTGTGAAAGCTGGGAATGCCCTGCAACATGAGTGCATCTTTCGTTGCATGCGTCTCAACTGCGTCTCAGAGTTGTTGAAATGTGGCAAAGGCCAAAGATTGGGAATCTACTTTCCGCCATGTATCTTGCCGAGGCGCACAAATGCCAGCCGCAACGTGTGGCCACGCCTTCATCCTGTTGTGGGGCACGGCACCAAACAAAGGCCTTTAGCATGCAGCAACAACACCCAGTGATGCTTGCTCTACAAGCAAAACAGTACAGCCGTGTACAGCCATGAGTTGGTCACATGAAAGACATCTGCCTATCGAGGACATTCTGAAGTATCCACGTCGGGCACATTCTGAGCACGCATTCGACGACTCATTCTCAAACTGAACGGTGCTAAGCAGGCCGGCAGCACGTGGTTGTGGGCAGCCCAGGAGCTGTAAACTGCCGCGAGACGCTGCGCATGGGGAACTTCTTACCAGGATGGCCCAGCCCAAGAGCGCCCCAAACAACTTTTGGCAGGACCTACTCAAAGTGGCCCCAAGTGAGTCGTACTCAAAACCCAGTTCTTAAGAAATGGTCCACCCAGAGTGGAAAGAATTCAAAAGAGGCGGATCTCTTTTGCCCATTTATGGCAAGGGAGTGCCACCCTCCAATTACGAGAGTTTTGAGCATGTGACTCACATGGAGTTGGGGTTGCCTAAGCCCTCGGTCCTCAACTTCTGCCCTTCGTCCACCAGTGGCCACGACCTTGGCCCGGATTCCGCCCGTATGGGCGGGTCTGCCCTGCGCAAAGCTCAGTTGCCAAATGTTGGGTTAGTATAGCCACCATTGTCTAAGATTCTGACCCAAAAGAGTTACTTCCCATCCCATCCCGACCTTGGCCCAGGGTTGGAATGCCGACCGTGCTGGGATTTTCCGGACCGAAGCCACAAAACGCATCAGATGGCAGGTGGTGTTTTTTTTCTGCAGGGTTTCATCCACCGACTGCACTTTTTGTGCCTGACCTGGGGGGAAGATGGGGGAAGTTCTCAACTCGGAGGTCAAATCTCATACCACACCTCGTGGCTCAAACACCCGACCTCCGACATCAGACTTGCTTTTTGCACGCTGGAGGTATTTCTTCTGCTTAATCTTGACTCCGCAATACCCCTGGTGGTTTGGGGGAACGTTTCCTGCAGTGAAGGACCTGCTGCATGGAACCTGCCGGGCCCAAACTCTGACTGATCTTTTGCACCATGCTTATATCTAGTATCCACATGTAGCAAAAAATACTTGGGGGATCCACAACAGAACGGCGGTTTCCTTTTGGATTCCCTTGCAAGCCTGAAAAACGGCCCTCCAACAACTCAGCACGTACAGTACCCGCCCCTTTCCAGCCCGCCCCGCGAATTCGAATTCGATTTGGGCCACCGGGCTGCCCCAGAGTAGGAGGCAAAGGTGGCACAGTGCAGGCGCGCGTGTGCAGCGCCTCATGTCGTCCCTCTTTCCGCGTTTCCGGATGTTGGCGGCCTGAACCGGCTTTGGGGATTCTCCCAAGGAAACCATAGGATGGGTTTTTGCATTAGTCATTCCAACGCTGAGAACCAGAAAGGAAATCGAACGACCTGCAATACTCCGGCGGTTTCCGTTGGTGTTCCATGGGTTTCCCTGTGGTTTTCTTGCCTTCCCGTAGAGTCTTGGAGCCAAATTTCGGGGTAGCCTCAAAAAGAAAACCGGCGGTCGGCTTGCACAGTTCAGGGAACCATTCAAACACCTGTAAAGGGGCTCCTTTACAGCTGATTTGACCAGCGCCCAACACCCGTTGACTTTGGGCTCGGATGCGTACAAAGGCAAAGAGACAGGCTGTACTAGAATCCCCATGAAGCCTAGTAGTAGAACGCCCAGTAGTCCTAATTTGGCCACAGGGCTTGGGCGCTGCTCAAGAAGCATGGGCTCGCTCAACATACGAGCCCCGGCTCCAGCATGTGGTTACCCGAAGGGCCAGGGACAAATGATTGAGTTCCCTTGCCTTCGGGACATTCCCGGCTTGACTTTCAGCCATGCCACGCTGCTGCACCTACCCAACATCACGCCGCAGTCTTTTTTGGTGAACTGGCGCATCGCCGAATCGCGTGCCGCGGCATGCAAAATTAGTTTCACAGCAATCGTCGTTGTCATTTGAGAGCAAGGCGTGTCCTTGCCCGGTGCAAACACATCCAGCACCGCCATCAAGCACACTGCAACACCGCTAAACGATTGTCCGCTTTTCTGGTTGGACTGGTCACGGGCATGCTTGACATATGTAACGGAAGCCCAGGACCCTAAGATCTTTGTTGATAACACCACGTAAACGACAGGCGGCACGAAAGCATTTAGCTGCGCGAGGATGTTCATTATATGAAGCAAACACCCAGCAAGCCTCAGACATGCCGCGAGTACATGACGCGACGGCATGGGCGCAGTGAGGCTTTCTCAAGGTTCTTTGTGCAAGCTTTCACTTTGCACGTTTCTCTGTGCAAGTGTTTTTGTGCAAGTTTTCTCTGAGCAAGCTGTCTGCGCGATTTCTCTGCGCCAGCTTTCTCTCTGCAAGGTCGTCTTCGCTGCAAGAATTCGTCGCGCAGGTCTCTCCTCGCCAGCTTTCTGTGCAAATTTATCTGCGCAACTTCTCTGCGCAAGTTTATCTGTGCGCAAGTTCCTCTATGCAAGTTTGTTTGTACAGGTTCTCTGTGCATTTATTTGTCTGCGCAAGTTCTATCGAGCGACTCGATGCAAGTTTCTGCGCGCAAGTTCTCTGCGTAAGTTTCTCGCAAACCACGAGACAACTTCTAAAGACTTGTCATCCGTAAGCAAAGCGCAACACCCCGAGCGCTTTGAACATCGACCACGCCGATCCCCACAAAGGGTCGTAATATCGCAGAGCAAAATTCAGTCCTACCGCGCCGCCTTTAAACAAAACAACGCATGACATACTATCTTGGATGTTCGAGCACGACTTCTGGAGCCTGGGCGCAAAGATGCGTCACGCGATATCTCAAGCACGATCACCAGGCCAAATCTCTGTGCAACTCTATGTAGTGTGAGCCCCCAATTGGAATAGCATGTTTTTATTGTAGAATGATTTTCCAATCAGGATCCTGTGACTGTTTTGGGGGTCCTCCATTGTGGAAAGTTTGTTTGCCGGAAAAAAACGCTGGACAAACTATGGGCCAAAATGGGCCAAAAAACGTGGCAAACAAAAGTCGCGAAAAAACAAATCGGGCAAGCAACTCCGGGCAAACATTAGGAAACCCTTTTCTTGAAGTGGTCCCGAAACCATCAAATGCTTGATTTCTTTGCAAACAAGTACGGGCAAACAGTCACACAAAGAAGGTTGCCCACAAGAGGCGCTGATCCTCTCTAATGTGACTGTTTTGGGGTCCTCTTTAGTGTCCAACTGTTTTTTGGGGTTGCTGAAATTCTTAAACTAAAGCCTTAACCTTTACTTTTCGGGCGGTTCACCTAACCAAGCTCTTCCCGGCTCAAAGGGTAGGATCTAGGAAGTCCATTTTGCCAGTCCCCAAACCATCAAATTTTTCAAAAAGTAAGGGCAAAAAGTAAGGGCAAACATTCGCACAAAGGGGTTGCCCACAAGAGGCCCTGATCCTCTTTCATGCGTCTGTTATGGGGCTTTCTTTAGTGTCCAAGCTTTTTGGTGGTTGCTGAAAAAAAGGGTCCTTGGCAATACTACAAAGTCGAGTTGGCAATGCTGAAGAAAGTACTGGGAATCAGAGTCAGCCTTGGCAATACCAAGTAGAATTGGCAATACTAACAAAAGTACTGGGAATCTGAGAGTCAGCCTTGGCAATACTAAGTAGAATTGGCAATGCTAACAAAAGCACTGGGAATCTGAGAGTCAGCCTTGGCAATACTAAGTAGAATTGGCAATACTAACAAAAGCACTGGGAATCCGAGAGTCAGCCTTGGCAATACTAAGTAGAATTGGCAATACTAACAAAAGCACTGGGAAGTCTGTAGAGGCACTGGGAATGAGAGTCAGCCTTGGCAATACTAAGTAGAATTGGCAATACTAACAAAAGCACTGGGAATCCGAGAGTCAGCCTTGGCAATACTAAGTAGAATTGGCAATACTAACAAAAGCACTGGGAATCCGAGAGTCAGCCTTGGCAATACTAAGTAGAATTGGCAATACTAACAAAAGTACTGGGAATCCGAGAGTCAGCCTTGGCAATACTAAGTAGAACTGGCAATGCTAACACAAGCACTGGGAATCTGAGAGTCAGCCTTGGCAATACTAAGTAGAATTGGCAGTACTAACAAAAGCACTGGGAATCCGAGAGTCAGCCTTGGCAATACTAAGTAGAATTGGCAGTACTAAAGTAAGTACTGTCCCTCCCAGACCCCCAGGATTTTCTCGAAAAAGGGTCCAGCTGACTGCTTCCACTGTTCCGGAGGGGGGGGGCGTGTAAAGAGCGTCCAACATTCACATCTCAACATGATCTCATGCGCCACAAAGTGAACCTCTGTGCAACTCTTTGCAACATCGCAACGTGATAGCTCATGTGTAACTGAACTAAACACAAAGTAAGATCTTTGCGTAGCTCTCCGCACAATCCCGTGTTGTCTGACATGTTGCTCATTGCGCTGGTGCGCTATCTCTCTGTGCAAGAAGCAGGCAATCTTATCTATCTGCGTCGCTCTGCGCGCTTTTTCTCTGTGCAAGAAGCATGCTACCGTTTACCGCAAGAACCCTTGGCATCGCTCGGGGACACAGGGATTGCTGGGAGAAGTGTTTCTTTCGTGTTGTATCTTCTTCACGTACCAAAGTTGCAGGTGCTGGTGGTGACGATATGATACGCTGGCAGAAATGCCCTGGCTCATTCTGAGTGGATCATGTCAGTGGAAGACAAACAGCGTGGTCAGGGCATTGCTGCTCGGTGGGCGCGCAAAAACGGCAGCTGCATGCGCTCACTGACATGCATTATGCCAAAGCGCACGGCCCGAACACGAAAGCTTCGTAGAGCTTGCGGGTCAGGCGAGCAGGTCACCAAACTGAGAGCCAATCCGGATAGGTCTGGCCCACAGTTTTGGTGGACACCGACAAATCTCTGCTTAGTGTTTTGCTCTCACAAAACAGAAGAGGCACCCTCAGGCAACCAAAACTCATCTTGTCTCCCATGGACAAATCCTTTCAATACGATTGCATGGTCTTGTGGGTATGTCGATCAATTGACAGCAACACTCCGCGTAACACTTGCAGCTTCCGTCTACGGCTTCCTAGAGGCCCTCGCAATGAGGGCGTCATGAAAGCAAGTGACCAGGAAAAAACCTGAGCTATGCAGGTTAGGTCAGGGCACCAATGCGATTCAGAGCATGGACCTTGCGGCCAATCAGATGGAGGGTAGGCTCCGTCCTTGGCATAAGAGCACGTTGCAAGGATGGGCAAAATCCAAATTTGAAGATATCCCTTCTGGAGAAACAGAGCTGCTTAGCATTTTTGCAGTTGGAGTTGACATGCGCATGCAATGGTTTTCCGTTTTCCTGCGCCTGGCGTGCGTGCAACTCCTTGAGGAGCAACCCTGGCGGCGAAGCGATCGCCCAGTGCTGCCACATGTCCACAGAATAAACTTGAGAGCTCGTGGATCCCTATCTTCATGGTCAAACCCACATGCCGTCCATGCGAGTCACGGTCGAAATTGCGCCACTTCCCCAATGGGAAAATGAGCCGTGTCCTCTCCCTCCCCATTTGGCTGAGGCTCAAATAGATGTACCAACATGGCCCCTTGGTACATGGCACCAAAGACTCAAACCTGCGCAACCCTAGCTCTTGAAATTTGAGCCGCACCCATTTGGGACGCACTGGAAAAATATTCAGCCGACACTTTCGTGCTGCGGCGCCTCCATCATGCCCGCGGCTTTGAAATGGCCCGTACCGCTGCACGGCTGATGCTCGGAAGATCGTGGCCATGGTCATAGTACCCACCCTGCACAATCTGCGCGGGCTGCGCAGAGTTGCGAAGCATCAAAAGATGATATTCACGCAAACACAGTGCATCACAGTGCAAAAGAACAGCATTTCAAAGGGCTGGTCTCAAAAGAGAACCCACAAAACGGGAGTCCCTTTGGTTTCCCCTCACAAGAATTCGCTGTACGCCTGGCCTTGTCTTCCTCCTTGCTTGCCATTCTTGGCGTGGGGGCATACCCGGCGACCGGCTCAGACGGGGGAAAGACGGCAACTGGCTGTGCTGGTATCTCCTGGACTCAAAACAGCAAAACTCCACACACTGCTTTTGAGCCATCGCCGGCCGACAGGAGAGACTACTACTCAACTACTCGCTCCTCGGGGGCGAAAGAGCGCTGTCGAGCTAGGGCAGCGGGCAACCTTCGGCAAAGCACGCATTCACACAATTGGCGAGTTGGCAGCACATGGTAAACAAGGACTGCTTGGTGTTGCAGCACTTGCGGATGATGTCAGAATAAGCGCCACACACA